TTATATTTGCTGCTGTTGGTTTAGATTTTTGCTTTAAGGTGGGACTTTTAAGCCCCTTTCCCATGAAAGAATCATCCTCAAATGTTAAGAAAGAAGAGGCTAAAGAGGCTTAAAACTTAGAATTCTGTAGAGTGAGTCTGGAAATAGTGATCTTCTTTTTTTGTTGCCTTTCTCTCCATAGCCAAGTCTCCAACAAAGCAAAGCATAGGTTTGATGGCTTTTTGAGGCTTGATCCATGTGACCACTGAACTGCTGAAATTTGGGAAGGAAATCGGCAACAAGCCTGTTCTGTTGCTACATTTTGGAACTTGTATTTTTAGGTCATGCTCAAAAATTAAAGCACTACAAGAATTTATTTACAAATTTATACTTGCTATAGCATGTGAGAAATTAACTTTACTTATAAAATTCATTTGAAAAATTCACATGGTTCCAAAATGATAAAATTAACATTGTAAAAAAGCTTTTAATGAAACTGAAATAATGGCTTTAAAATTCTGTTCAATCATCTAAACTCTTTTATGAGTTCAAGTTTCATTTTCAGTATAATTTTCTTCTTTTTTAATAAAATTTAGTATTAATTTGAAAACAATTTATATATAAAAAAAATATGTTACTTATTTTGAAAATAATTTCTTTGAACAGGAATGGGTAAAAATTTTATTAAAAAAGATAAAAATTGACATCATAAAAAGTTCAAGTAGAAGTGAGAAAATTCATTTTAAATTTCTGTGTGTAGAATTTTCATTACTTGATAGTTGAACCAAATCAATTTTACAAAAACAATTCATTTGTTTTACATGTTTCTTTGAAGTTCCAGGCAGAATTTTAGAAGCTGGAGTTAAGGCCCAAAAAAAAAAAAAAAAAAAAAAAGCCAACAGCTATCGTAAACTGTTCAACATTTGAGCAGCCAGAAATCTGCTCGTTGTCGTTTATTTGAAAAAAGTAAAAAAAAAAAAAAAAAAATAGTTCGGTTGCATACAGTAATTATTTTTTGGTGTTTACTCTGATGATTAGGCTGATTTAAACCAACAATTTTTATGTTTTTTTGGCGTTGACTGAGTTATATAGCTTATGAAGCAGAATACATCATACGTGAAATTGATGTGGTAGTTTTTCCAAAATTCTTGTGAGAGATTATTTTCTGCTTGTTCCAGAGGAGATGTTTACCGCCAAAAGATTTACTTGCACCATTTGATCAATCAACACAATGAAGCCAGATTGCTAAACTTGGAACTAAAGAATCCATTCTCTTGATTGAATCAATTTTTACTGGAAACCATAATTCAGATAGCTGCGGGAAAGAAGCAATTTTTTTTCCCCAAAGCTAGGTATTTTAGCTTCCTCTACTTCACAAACATCAGCTCATGTTTCTATTATTTTTGTTTTTTCTATTGTTTCTGTTATTTCCTATTTTCATCTTCACTCCAATCCCCATTTAGTTGTTCACCCTGTCTTCCAGGCTTTTCAGGACCTCCCCATGATTGAATCTTATTTCTTGATTGGTTATTAGCTGGAGGCAGATTCATGTCTTCTTTTTCCTCCTGGAAATTCCTTGGGTTAAAACTCTGTCATACAACGAGAGAAAAGATTCTGCTCAAGCAAAACAAAGAACCATTAATACCTCAGAAATTCCCCCACGCCTCTTCATATGAATTTCTTTCTTTTCAGTCCCCGATGAAAATCGTTTTGCAGCCTCACTAAATAATTGAAATCCCTGCAGATCTCCATTTCTGATACTTGCTTCCAGCTGCAAATAGAGTAGTAGAAGTCACAAAATTATTAACACATGGCCATGCAGTTGCTTTTAGCACATCCTTAAAAGCATAGATCCATAGCCAATGCCAAAAACTATTGGTCAAAGGACAAATGTATACCGATGCTTCTCAGTTCATCTAATTCTAGGTATAACTACTTCAATTTAGTATTAAAGTCTCACACCTTCCACTATATGAGAAAAACAGATCAGTTATACATTATATTACTGATAGTAACTTGCCCAGCTAGGGATAAAGAAGTTCGGATGAAACGTGCACCTGAACATGAATAATGCATAAAACTATGCTTGCAATAGGCAACCAGCTCTCATCAGGGGAGATCGAAAAATTTGACCTGTTAATGGAGAAACATATATCAACTTCAGCAGATGTAGCCATCTAACTCTAATCTTTAGAACTACTAGCATGAATAAATTTGAGAGTTCTAAATCTAATCTGCCGAGAAACAAAAAGCATTCTCACTTTTGGTAAGATAATTTTTTCCATCTTGTCCACAACTTAATCAAACTTGTTACTAAACTACTAAACTAATTGATAACATTACTAGTGTCTGCCATGAACTCAGGAGCACTTCTGGTTTTCCATTAGGTCAGGAGTTCCATGTTACTGGAAAACACTACAAAGACTAATAGAAGGAACATGTAGCAGTATCATGTTAAATGTGCCTGCTTTTTTTTTGAAATAAAAGTTAAATGTACCAGCATTAACACAGAGCTAAAACTAACATGGGACTTCTTCATAGTAAGTTGACTGTAGGGTCTCCAGCATGCACAGCCAAAAAGTTTAGGGAAGACATGCATTATTTTTTTTTTAAATAAAAGGTGAAAGTATTATTATTCACAAAGGTACTAGGGGAGTACCACCCAATTACAAAGAAATTACAAGTCACTTAGATGGTTTATGACGCATCCCAAATCTAGGGAAGACATGCATTATTCTTCATCATAATAGATTAAAAAGAATATTTGGGGCAACACTGCAACAGAAATGGGTCTCCATATTTTACACCATCTTCTTTGCAGTCTGTCAATCTTACTTAAACCCCTTTGTGTGTTCCTGTTGTTCGGCACCTGTAAATAGCATTTCTACTATGCATTAAACTTCGTGTATATATGTGAAATGTGAAAGGCACGAACAGCCAATTTGAAGTTCCAGCAGCATTATACTAAATTCTTTTGCAGGGCAATTTGAAATACTCTTTTTTCCTAAACAACCTGATGAAGCTCTTCTCCAAGATCATTGAAAACCACAGTTCAACGTTAATATATAAAAGATAATCATTAAGTTCAAAGAGTTGCCATGGTGACTTGAACAAATACTGCAGAGTGCATACTGAAAAAATACTAAAGATGAAACTCCTGTTGTAAATAGGTGGAATTTCAAATGTTAAAACTCAAATTTATTCAACAGCCTCTGGCCCTAGCCCGAATAAACTCATCACACCCGTTATTACGTTCATTTGTGAAAACATAATATAGAGTTGCAAAGGAAAAAATAGGCATCCAACTAGATAGAAACTGGTGGTACCTCAGGTATGGAGCCAAGTACACAAGAGAATACACAGCATAATGCCGCTTCCCAGTATCAAGCCAAGCAAATACCCAACTCTGTTGCAGAGAAAAATAAACATCAACGATTTACAATTCACGGAAACGAAGCAGAAAAAGAAGCTAATGGGGGGAGATATCGGACCAGCCAATTAAAGAAAGGGATAAAACTGATGATTCCCATGACCGCAGATCTCGAATCGGTGGAGTCAATCCCTGAACCTTCCAGCTCTTTCGTATCCACATGATCAGCCACCGGGAGGAGCAGCGAACTGAGAAAGAGACGCCGATTGCGGCACCGAATGGCGCGTCGTGGGAGAAATCCGCTCTGCATAGTTGTCGTTTATTTTTTTCTGCAACCAAAAATAAAAAAACCACCGGTTTTTACGCAGGAACACGAAAAGCTCAAGTAGGTTGCCGAGAAGAAGAGAGTAGATGAAAAAACAGTTTGGTGGTTGCGTTTGGCTTTAGTTATAGGCCCGAGAAAGAGAGAGAAGCAAAGAGAAAAAGGAAACATAGGTGAGGTGAAAATCGTTAGAAGCAACATTACCTGGCTAGGGTTTCTGAGAGGATAATAGTGGAAGAGGTTGAAGTTGGAGAGGGAAGTTGAGAAGCTAAGAGGTGGGCTTAAAGAGACGGTAGTAGAAGAAGTGAGAGGAGTGAGAGGATGAAGCACGGACAACATGGCTTCTGCGCTCTATCATGAGCAGGGGAGTGAGAGAGCCATTAGAGAAATTGGAAAAACTGCACCTAAATTGGTGAGTCGTGTAGAAAGAATTTGAAACGAGGCTGGCAGATACGCCATGACTAAACCCATGTCTATTTGGCATATTCGTCTTGCTTAGCCATTATTAATAAAGAGGAAAATTGAAGTATCTTGATTGATTTTTAAATTTTATAAAGTTTTTTAATTGAGGAACCGCTCAATTTCTTATGTAAATCACAAGTTGAAGCAAATTAAGAAATAAAGTGAAATTCATTGTATCTTTACTTTTCGGGGATAAAGTGTATATATATATATATATATAATTGAAACAATGCATTCTAATTTCATCAAAATTAATAGGACTTCAAATATTTTATTTTAATTTCACATAAACTTTTATTACTTTATTTATAATTATTATCATTTTTTAAAATAAAAATAAGTATAAATTTACAAACACATTTACCCTCATAAAGTTTTAAAATCCTATTCAACTAGAGAGAGCATTAACGTCAATCTCACAAATACACCTCTCCCACAAATGGAGGCCACTCTTCTCTGCAGTTAAGAAAAAAATAAAGAGAAATTGTGACCGCAGCCAGAGAATTAGCCTAAAATTTTATAAATACAAATAGATATACAAGCCCATTCTCCTTCATTTTTTATCAACTTGTCTGCTGGCTGAATAAACATCATAAATACAAGAAACGTTCTTCTTCCCATCTCAGACTACTTCCAAAAAATGAACCTGCATTGGAAAGGAAGAAGAACATTTCTGTTTAAACTACATAAAATCCCTCCCATATCCACAACTTGGCTTTATTTGTCATCCAGCTGCCCGCCTTCTGTAAACTATTACGTAAACAAGTTGCAGAAACTGCACTCTCCAACCTTCCAGGGTAACCAATGAATAGCATTCATACCAACAGTTTTTTGTTGAAATCACTTCTGTCTCCGCGATTTACACCTCTGCCCGGAATGCACATGGTGGCTGGTTCCACTTTGCAGAAATTGGAATTCAGAATTCAAGTATCCGCTTCCCTTCTATCACCATTTTCTGCTTCATCACTTAAGACTTTCAACTGCTGCTGCAACTGTAAGTCATAATAATAAACTCATCAGGGATACCAATTCATTGTTACTAGTGTTTATAAAACAAAAAATCACAATGAATGCAACCTACTCTATTCCAGACTTTGAGGGTAACCCTCAGGTTACCAAAACAAGGCCCAAGTCAGTTTTTAAATAATCATTCAGAGCACAACATAGAAATACTATTTTAAGTATATCTACATACAAACAAACTGCTCTAACTAACTTACTTGTGAGTACTTCAACTTCTCGGTATCCAGTTCATCAGTCAAGTAACTGACCCTGAAAAGAAACATAAGATAGAATTGCAAAAGAACGAGCATTAGATAGGTGTTAAATACAAAAAATTAAAAAAAAATAAACAAGTGAATGATTATGGTTATTAATACAGAAACTACCTAGCTTGCAACTCCGACACCTTCACGAGCAGTAACCGCTCCCTCTCAGAAGCCACCGGTTCAACCTGTTGAAGCATATGAAAGAGCAAGAGTTACAGGGTTGTCGTATCAATTATTGATCATTAAACACAATCAATGCAAAAAATTAGCAGTCCTTAAGGGCAAATTTTTTTTTTTTTTTTTGAGATAAAAAGCATGAATAGTCTTTAATGGCAAATTTTAAAGTAGAGAACCAAGAGGAGTGATAACAATACATTGATCCTTTCAACGTGGGGGTGGGAAATATTACCAGGAATCAAAAGGTTAGTGAAGATCTAGATTAGTAGGGATAATTACCGGAAATATATGATCATATTATTAGGTTGAGATATTCAGATTGCTACGAATGTTCATGATATTGCCATAAATGTATAACTACTGGGTTCAGTTTATTCAAAAGATTTAAGGGGAAATCAAAGTTATGACTAATTTATGTTTTTCTTTTTTGTTCCGAATTTCCATCCCAGGTAATCTCAGATATTCTCTTCTCAGCTCATTTTGGTGGGTAAATATGTTACCTAGTCTCTTGAGCCTTGACATATTTGCTGAACCAAACAATGGGTAAAGAAATTATTCATTTACATTATCAGGAATGTTCACAGATAACTTGAATCAAACATGTTCAGACGAGAAACACAGGTTCTCCCACAGCAACCACTTACGACAATAGGAGGCATTTTACATGAGCCACTACATCACATGTTTTCTACTATCAGTAGGAGAAATCAGAGTAATGATTATGAACAAAAAACATTTTTCTATTTGACAGAGCTAAAGATTTGTATAATCCCATCATAAGTAGTAAAATCAACACAAAGCATTTAACTAGAGGACCCTGATGATTATTTAATAAATAAATAGCATTAACCCTGATGAAAGCTACGATGATAGATCAAAAGGATAGACACACTGTATTCATGATTCCAGTGTAAAGAGATATTATGGACATCAGATGTCTGATAAATTGCTATCTACTCATG